AAGCTAAATATGTGCTATAAAACCCAAGCTAAATATATACAGTATAAATGCACTGACTAAATAAAAACCCTCTAAATGCACGGCATTGTCTGGTTCCAACTCCTAAGAGCTATATATGTTCTAACTGTATTACGAACCCAAGCTAAATCATAAGGCCCAAGCTAAGACATATGTAAGTATATATAATTCAAGTTAAACATATATTATGAAACCAAAGCTAAATATCAAATGCTAAATATATTAGTACGAAACCTGTTAAAACTCTAGCTAAATATATAAACCTGAAATAAAGTACATATACCGTATACATATTAGATCTTGTCTTAAAACCGTTTTTTTTTTATTAATTAAATAAAAAAATAATAATAATAAAAATATTTGCTACTTTTTATTACTCTTGGTTAATTTCTGTTCTTTTATTAATTGCGTTCATTGGTTTTATGTTTGCTTCATTGGTTTTACATACTTTATTGTATTTTTTTTAGATAAGTCAACAAATTTGACACGTGAATTGGGGTACTATTTTTATTTACACCCAATCGGCATGTGACCTTTTGCAAATCATTAAAAATTTTGGGGTCCAGTTTTGAGGCCCAATTCTACAAATCCACGCATATGAAATACTCCATTAAAATACATTCTGCTTCTACCGGATTATTGACAGAACTATTCCAATAATAAACTTTAAATTATAAAATATACTCTAAATAATTTTTCATACAAATGTTGATGTTTGTTTAAATAATAAGAGACCAATCCATGAAATAAAAGGACTATATACAGCATTTTACAGTGCACTACTATAAATAATTAAGGTTTTAGTAAAAATAAAACAATATAAAAAAAATTTAAACATGTAAATAAAAAAAAAATGAAAAAATAATTTTTATTCTATAACTTGTACATATAGTGAAAAATTTCATTTAGTGCTTACTATATTGTTTCAGACTTTCAGTAAAAAAGTTTATATTTTCAATTGTAAACATATTATCGCTACTTCTACCAAAAAACCTATCTAAGCTAGCAAAAGTATTTTTAAAGCTTTCAATAGAAATGTTATCATCATAATTAGTATTATAGCAATCTGTTTCAGGATTTGCTTCAGGAAAGAGATTTTGAAAATAGCGAACTCATCTTTTTGTTTTTGGTTCTTTACGATCTCTAAATACTCTAATTGGAATTATTCGATTTATCATTTTGATATTTTCAATAATTCATAAATTTGAGAAGCTGTAGGACGCAAATCTAGATTTTTATCCAAACAAAATTTTATAATATCAGCATATAGTTGCAGTGTTTCTTCAACTGGAGTTGGTCTTAACCCATCACAAATGTCCAAAGCAAGCTTATAATCATGTTTTCTATCTTCAAATGCCCACATTCCTGAAAATATTTCCCACATTATTATACCTAATGAATAAATATTGGATGCTAGAGTATATTGTTTTTTAAGTATGACTTCAGATGTCATATATGGAATATTTCTATAAGTTTTATCAGATTTTGACAATATTTTGTAAAACTCTGAATGTTCTAAGTCGCTAATATATGCATTCATTGGTGTTTTTGTAGTATATTTCCGCTATGAAAGTTATGATGAATTATATTATGAGAATGAATTTGTTTGAAATCGTTAGTAATACAGGACAGCAAATTTAATTTCACGTCCCATCCCATTAACTCTACAAAAGATATATTGTGATATAAAGAACCAGCATCTGCATATTGCATTACTGATATGTAGTCACTAGTAGTATCTTCATCCTTTGATATCCTGTAACATTGTAAGAATGTAGGATTTTTATATCCAATTTTATAGAATAACTCTAACTACAATGCGTATTTATTAGCAAAGCAACTTAAAAGGTGTAAAATTTGAATATAAAACCACAAACCTCTTTTAAAAATCTATTACAATTTTCAAGAGATCCATGAAGAAATTTAAGAGCAACCATATCTAAACTAAAGTCCGAATGCTGCCACCTTGCTGAATATACAGTTGAAAATTTACCACTACCAATTTCTTCAATGATTCTTAGTTCACAAAATAGAATCTATAATAATGAATATTCATTGTTGTCTTGCGACACATTTTTTAAAAAGTTATCAATTTTAGAAATTTCAATTTTATAAGGTTTTTGCTTAGGTAGATTTCTTGCTTTTTGCATATATTCAACAGCTTTTTCTTGATCTTGACCTGTTCAATTGCCATTTCAATAACATGAACCAACTTCAATTTGTGCATTAAAATTTTCATTTTCTGCAGATTTTAAATACTATTCAAATGCCTTAATTCTTTCATTATCATTATAACTCCTTTCATAGTAATGTTCAAGATAAAGCTATGCATATGAATTTCCACTTTTAGCAGATTTCATATACCATTTAAACGACTTCTTTTCATCTTTAGAAACGCCTATCCCATAATAATAACAAACCAACAGTTGCTTGTCCATTGGGATATTTACTTTTAGCAGATTTCAATACTATCTAAATACCTTTTTTTCATCTTTTAAAATTTCCATACCATCTCTTTAACAATTCCCAAGATTAAGTTGTCCTTGTGGATCACTACCCTCAGCAGATTTTAAATACCATTTAAGCACTTTCTATTTATTTTCAGGAACACCTATGCCTTTGAGATAGTAGCATCCGACTTTATTTGACCGTCAGCATTTCCACCTTCAGTAGACTTCAAATACAATTCATATGCTTTCACATTATTCTTATCAATACCTATGCCTTCATAATAACAGTATCTGACATTACTTTGTGCTTGAAGATTGACCATTTTTGGCAGATTTCAAAAACTATTCAAATGCTTTTTTATCATTCTTCACAATGTCCAAGGTTACATTGTGCATTAGGAATACTATTTTTGCAGATTTTAAATACTACTCAAATGCCATTCTTTTATCTTTAGAAGTATCATTGCCCCTTTCATAAGAATATCCAATATTATATTGTGCAAACAGATTTCCACCTTCAGCAGACTTTAAATACTATTCAAATGCTTTCCTGCTATCTTTAGAAACGCCTATGCCTAATGTATAGCAAAATGCAACATTATTTTGAGCTTCTGGATTTCCACCTTTAGCGGATTTCAAATACCACTTAAACGCATTCTTTTCATTCTTAGAAATTCCTATGGCATTTCAGTAACAAAAACCAACATTTATTTGTCCTTGTGAATTTCTGTTTTCTGCAGATTTTAAATACCACTTAAAAGCCTTATTTTTATCTTTTGCAGTGCCTATCCCATTTTCATAGCAGTGGCCAACAATGTTTTGTCTGAAGAAATTTCTATTTTTAGCAGATTTTAAATACTATCCAAATGCTTTTTTTCGTCTTTAGTGGTACCTATCCCATTGTCATAGCAATAGCCAACATTAATTTGCCCTTCTGAATTTCTATTTTCAGCAGATTTTAAAAACTATTCAAATGCTTTGTTTTCGTCTTTTATAGTACATTCTCCATTCTTATAGCAATGGCCAATAATGTTTTGGCTATATGAAGTTTTGCTTTTAGCTGATTTTAAAAACTATTCAAATACTTTTTTGTCGATTTTTGCAGTACCTATCTCATCTTTATAGCAATAGTCACTAATGTTTTGGCTATTGGAAGTTTTGCTTTTAGCTAATTTTAAAAGCAATTCAATGCTTTTTTTTTGACTACTGCAGTACCAATCTCAATTTCATAGTAATTGCTAGTATAATTTTGGCCATTGAAAATTTTGCTTTCAGCTAATTTTAAATTCGAGAAGTTCATATTTTTTGAAAGCTTTAAGGAAATCGATTAAATATTGTTTGCAGAAAGCTATATGAAACTCAATAGATATGTTCACCAATATTATCTAATTACTATTTATTGTTATGGGTTTTACAAAAAAAATATGTGCCTTCTTTTTCTTTTTAATGTGATCCTCCATATTTCCTTTTATAGATAGCATTAGATAACGGCACTAATACAACTGTAAATTTGGACATGCCGGGAGTTAGTTCATATTTTTTTTTTAATACCATAAAATAAAAATTTGGGGAATCCAAAATGTGATAAATCCTCACAAGTCAAGGAAATCAAGAAATTGATGAACTAATGCCTGACGTCCTAGCTAATACAAACAGGATTGAGTTTTATAATAATACTGTTACAAAAACTACCCAACAAACAGGAGATGGACAGATGAATACATATTTTAAAGTTTCGAAAATAATCAAAGATAAATTAAGTAAAAATCTTCTTATTAATAATTTAGTTATTACTTGTTAAATTTGTTAATTGCTAATTAGTGCAGTTTACAATATGTTACAGTTGCCAATAAACAAAAATTTAACAGATATGACGCCTGTCACAAGAAATGAATTATCATTTGATTGTAAAAATCAAATTATTCTGTGATTAGTAACTTTCTTATTTAGCGATTTATAATTTTGGACTGACCATCGTGACCTACTAGTGTTGTACCAACAATTACAAATATTTATCATTATTATAAAATGTTAATATGATAATTTTAATCAATTATTATAAAATGCACCTATGGTGTTCAACACCATATATAATTGTTTTTAATAAAATTTAGGGTTAGGGTACATTTTTATAATATTTTTTTTTTATATATATTATAACATATGTTAGATATAAGGTCCCGATTTTAGTTTTTGTAAGGTTTTTGGGGGTCCTGAACATTTTTACTTAGAGTACCTGATCACATTTATTTAGTACGTTTTTGAGAAATAGGGACCTATGGTGTTGAACACCATAGGTGCATTTTAGTAAACTTGAATTTTAATTATATTTTAAAGCCACCTAATTTTCATTCACGATTTTAGATAGACACCCATAAAAAAAATAATAATATTTTGAGCCATTCATCTCCAAATATTAATTTAAAAAATAAGATTCTTTTTTCTAATTCCTTTATTAAAAAATATTTATAAGTTAATGCTTACAGTCATCTAGTCAAATATAGTCACAATATTATATAATTATAACACTAATCTTAATATTCATGTAGATTTATAAATATCAAGCGAACTTATAATCTTCAAATATTTAGGCTCCTATACTTATTTATAGTAATCTGATTATTATTTTAGATACAAATCTTAAAATAGTTAATTGTAATCCTAATCAAAAAGCAGTACCCTTTATTACTTTAACTATTGTTTTTAATTTTATTATTGATTTATATGTAATATTATGGTTAGTTATAATATTAGTTAAAGCTAACAATAATATTAATAAGAAAAATCAATCATCTTTTTTAGCAATTTTAATATGGAGCTATTTATGATTCTTTATTTATTTTTTTGCAAATATATATAATATTATTGGACTTTTTGTAAATTACTCTTCATATGAAAATTATGATACTAGCATAAAAACACTAATTAATATAACTTTGTCTTGGCTAATAACTAGGAATCATGGAATAATAAAATATATAAAAAATAAAGGTGAACTTACTACTTGATATTTTTAATTTATTTCCTCCTCACATTTACAATCATGTTCATAAATTAATAATTAAAGACTATAAAATTTCTTTATATCCACAGTCCTTTAAAAATTTATTTAATTAATCAATTGAAAATATTTAAAAACAATACAATTATTTGACTAAATAATACTTTAAAGAAGTAAAACATGCAAAGTTTTATATTTGGTATAAAATATTGTATTTATTGATAGGACTTAAAAAGTAAAATTCAAATGCCATACCTCATAATCTATTTTTATTTATAAATTATTAATATGGCAATAAAAATCACCTATTTTCGTATTTTTAGTCTTATCACTATTAAATTTGTATTTGAACAGAACTATTTTTCAATTATAAAAAAAATACAGCATATATAATTATGAATATGCAAAGCTAATTTAACATAAAAAATTAAGTATATAGATGTTTAACTATCCAATTTCAAAGATCTTTTTGGCTACATCAATGTTTTTTATTAAAAAAATTAGAACTTCAACACAAATTTATTAATTAAAGGATTATTGTCTATACTTAGAGATGGAACTGACAATACGAAAAATAGTGCGTACCCTGAGGTGGTTGGTCAAATCAAATCTATCATATTAGATTATAATACACTTATAAAAGATTTAGATGAGATTGAGACCATCATACCCGCTTTTAGAAAGTTATTTATTTAATGTTTAATATAAATTTAAATCAAAATGCGATAAATTTTTGAAATTCTTTTTAAGAGACAAACACGAAATATATAATTTCACTGAAATGTTGTTGGGATTCTATATTAACATTACCATATATATTAAAAAATATAAAAGTGATGTATTTACTTTTTGTATTTATGTAAATTTCTGTGAAATTTTTAGGGTGATCCTTAATTTTGTAAGGGGGTATATTTATATAATAAAGTGTTAGCCCCTTAATAGTAAGCAAATGCATTTTAATTTGATAAGATTGTATTTTTGTATACTCCATTTTTAAACTGAAAAGGAAATTGTTAGGTTAATTTAATAATAAATAAATAATAATAATATAAAACTCTTATCAAGTCATTAACATCACGCCTCTGGCAAATTGCCTAAATTTGTAATAGTTATATCCTAAGCAGTTGGGTATAAGTGGAGATGAAATTTCTACTTATACATATAGTGCCTAGAGTATAACTGATTTATGCCCTCGATCTTGATATAGTGACCAGGGTATAAAATAAGTTCTTGATTGAAAATCCTTTAGTTTTTACCTTGTGTTTCAATCCCACCTGTAACAACAAACACAGGTTTTTGGAGGTTTAAACCATTTTTTGTTTAGTAATTTACAGTTAAAAAATGGACCATTTGTATTAAAATTATCAAATATAAATTGCAAAGTAACAGTAAATCAAAACACATTTTTTAGATCTAATAATAAACACTAAATCTAAAAATATTTTTAGTAAGTTAAATCTACAGTATTTAAAAATCTATTTTATGATTAAATTCACTAGTGTGACACCCAATAAGTCTGCTTTATACCTAAATTAACCTCTAGCTCTGAGCATGACCCAAAAATTTTTTATCGAATTTGGGTCATATTTATAATGTTCTATTCATCATGTGAATATATACTCATATTTGATTAATGCAAGAATTTTGATCTATGTAATATTCATTTAAGCACTAAAATAATTTCTAATTTCTAATAATTTTTAATATATTTAAATTTTTTGTTGGTCATAAAAAATTTTTAATTCTTTTTTTTCAATAAATATATTTATTTTATTGAATTTTTTTAGATTGCTTAAAGTAAACACTTGTGTGTATAAAAAGCCTACTTCGTAGTAAATTTATCTAGTAAAATTACTTACACTATTTTCTTTACTTTTTTTGATATTGAAATAAAGTCTTGCTTATGCTTTCTGACTAATAAATATTGAATTGTTTTTTTGGCCAGAACTTGAATTAATGATCATGTTATCATTATAGTGGCACTGCAGTTATTATGCTGGTAATTCTTAAAATCGATCTGCAAATCTCTTCCTAATATGTTTATTATCAATTATCCTTAATAAAATAATGATTTCCAAATATATGCCAAAATTAGTTTGGTTGATCAATATCTATTTTAATATTATGGTTATAGCCACGAAAACATTATCATTTTCTATTATTATTTTATTATTTTAATCTCATCTTGATTTTAAATGTTTTAAAAATTGGTTGTATATTTGATTGATTATTTTCTATTTTAATAGATTGGTTATTGCCACGAAAATGGTATTGTTTTCTATTATTATTTTATTATTTTAATCTTATCTTGATTTTAAACATGCTTTAAAAATTGGTTTTATTTTAAAAATACCATTATCAGATACGCTTGGCATTCTATCTAATGAAGCATTACTATAGATTTTATCGTAATTCTTATATTATACTTTACTACCATGCATTGAAATGATATAAATACCCGTAACAAAAAGCACTTACTGTAAAATTTTTTGAAATTATTTCAATTCAATTTAATTAATACAAAATATTTTAGCTTGATTCAATTACATTCAATTTAACTAATACAATATTTTTTCAATTCATTTAATACAATTAAATATGCTTTCGCATGCTTCACTCATTGCTATTATAGTCACAAAAGAGAACTTCTCTTTGCTAACTCAGATTTAACATATTTGGTAAGTATTAAATTATTATTGTTGGTTTCTATTTGGTTGAATTTGATTAATTTATGCTATCGCAACTACGAAGCATAAGATCCTTGTGCTGCTATTGTAGTTATGGTGCTTAATCTCCAAAAATGAAGTTCTAATACTGCCTGCGACAGCCATAGGCCTAAGCACAACATGAGGTCCTTGCATTGCTATGGCTGCCACAGAGCCTAATCACAATATAACGTCGTCCTTGTACAGCTATCATAGTTATGGAGCCTAATTGCCAAACATATGGTTCTTGTACTGCCTGCGGCAGCATAGAGCCTAATTACCACATGAGATCCTTGCATTGATATAGCAGCCACGGAGCCTAATCATAATGTGAGATCCTTATATTGCTGATATAGTTACGGAACTTAATTGCCAAAAATGAATTCTTATAGTCATAGAGCCTAATCATAGCATGAGGTCCTTGTATTGCTATTGCAGCATGAGCCTAATCACCAAATATAAGGCTCTTGCACTGCCTGCGGCAGCCATAGAGCCTAATCACAATGTATGGTCCTTGTCTTGTATTGCTATCTATCGCAACCACAGAGCTAATTACTATTGTAGTTGCGGAGCTTAATCACCAAACATAAGGTTTTTACTGCTTGTGGCAGCCATAGAATCTAATTAGGTAATTCCCTTGCATTGCTATCGCATTCACAGAACTAAATCACAACTTGAGATCCTTCCACTGCTATCATAGTTGCGAAGCTTAATCGCCAAAAATGAGGTCTTGCAGTACCCGCGGCATCCATAAAGCCTAATCACAATATAAAGTCCTTGCATTGCTATCACAGCCACGGAGTTTAATCACAATGTGAGATCCTTGCACCGTTATCGTAGTTGCGAAACTTAATCGCCAAGCATGAGGTTTTTGCACCTCCTGCGGCAGCCATAGAGCCTAATCGCAATGTAAGGTTCTTGCATTGCTATTGCAGCCATGGAGCCTAATCACAACATGAGATCCTTGCATTGCTATCGTAGTTACGGTGCTTAACCACAAAACATGAGGCTCTTGCATTGCCTACGGCAGCCATAGAGCCTAATCACTATCGTAGTTATGGTGCTTAATCACAAAACATGAGGCACTTGCATTGCCTGCGGCAGCCATAGAGCCTAATCACAACACGAGGCCCTTGTATAACTACCGAAGCCACAAAACATGAGATCCTTGTACTGTTGTAGACTCTATAAAAAAAAAGTAAGATTCCATACAAATTTTGCTCAGATTATTATTTTAAAAATAAACATTTTTCGTAATAAAAATCCGAATAGAATTTTGACCTTTTTTTATAGGGGGCAATACACGAGTTTCTTGCATTGCCTGCGGCAGCTATAGAACCTAATCACAACATAAGGTCCTTGCATTGCTATCACAGACATGGAGCCTAATCACAACATGAGGTCTTGTACTGTGTAATACAATATCAATAGCACACTCATCTCTAACTCCCTTTAAGTAACTCAAGCGCCTAGTTTGTTGAATTAAAATTATATAATAGCTATGGACTTTTAAATTTTAAAATGCTTACGATACATTATGCGACATTATGTTTAGCATAATGTAATGCACACAATGTATAACCCATCTCTATTTGGTATACAAACAACAAGCACCAATAGGTTCCATTCGAATTTAATTGATACAAAACAGTTACACAATTGTACGATACGTAATCACACAATCACAATATCTATTTATAAAACTATAAATTAAGGAGAAAGCATTTTTCAAGTTGAATTCAACCTAAACTTTATATAAAATTATGAAGACTATGAAAAAACAAGACATCGTATATTCTCGAAATAAAAACAAGAAAGGTATCAAAATAACTTGTGACTCGTGTATCACTCGTCATTTGTGCGATGGTTTTGAAAAATGGACATCCGGTAATGCATTTATTGACGGCCTCCTGCAAAGATGCCAATTAGAACTAACATTAACACCGGAAAAACTTGTTGAATGGGTACCTTATGAAAACTTTGAAAATGTCGAATACAAAGCTAAAGGTGGATATGGATCTATATATACAGCAATTTGGATCAATGGATGGATTTCTGATTGGGATGATGCTAATAAACAATTCATCAGAATTGGATCCAAAAAGGTCGCTTTGAAATTATTAAATAATTCAAGTAACCCAAATGAAGAATTTTTTGAAGAGGCACGTTAATACTTTATTCAATATCAATTTAGAATTGTTGTCAGGAATTAAAATAGGATTTATAGAATTTATAGAATTTGTGACGCAAACTAAAACTTGTACGTTGTGCATTTATAGTCAATACCTTACGGCATTCAATTTTAGACTCCCAAGTATATAGATGGTGGTAGAATTCAAAAAAAAAGGAACGAATCATTTTCATTGATAAATTCCATTTTTTAAATTCTACCGCCATGTAGGAACTATGTGAGTTGGTTTTGAGAAGTTTTGTAAAAAAAAAAAAAAATTAAAATTTTTAACTGATATTCGGTAATAAATAAAATTTAGAGAATTTATTTTTTCTATAACTGTTTTAGTAGAAGTTTATTAGTTTTTGAGTTATTGAGATGAGACCGATTAAGGTCGACCAATTTCCTCTATACTTTCGGTGCCTAATGGTCCATCTAAATTAATCAAAAAAATAGTACATAAAACTTCTATTAAAAATAGGTGTAGAAAAATAGATTTTCTACAACTTTATTTTTTGACCGAAGACCAGTTAAAAATGAAGAAGTTATTATCATAATTTGAAATAACAATTGCTTGTGGAGTTTGCCCACTTATTCTATAGAGCATCCGTTAATAAGAAACATCCTGAAAATGTTTACAAAATTTTCGAAAAGATTATATAATAGTCGAATTTCTGCTCTGAAATGATAATTTTTATTAAATAACTTTTAGCAGAAATATTTTTAGTGGTTCTTTTAGGTTTCCTTTTTTATATAATCGTACCTATTCTAGTCGAATTAATTGAACAATCACTTGATTGTATGTTTGGTTGCACAATTATACAGTGCTTTTTTATCGAGAACAGATATTTTATGAAATTAATATATTTATATTGAATCTTTGGCCAAAAAACGCACTTTACAATCACACAATCGAACAACGATCGGTGATTGTATGGGTGTGCATAGAGACTGGACTCGAGTCAACTTGTAACTTAAAACAAATAGTTAAGACTATGTTTTTTGTGCTACAAGTTGACTCGAGTCCAGTCTCTAGTACAAATTTGATCAAAGTTACATCAAAAACCGCGATAATGCTTTTTTGAGAAAGTCTTTATACACTACAATTTGTGTATTCTGATCATTTGTCTTTTAAGCTATCATATAAAAATACGATCTTGTACACATTTTCAAAATTCTAAACTTGATTTATAGTGTCATTTAAAAATTATAATATTAATATATATATATATATATTGCATTGTACACTTATAATTTCACAGGCAGTGTCTCATATTATGTTTTCATCTCAAGGTTCTCGCGGTGTCCAATGTCACGGGTTAACCAAATTCCCAGAAACGAATGATTTTATGTTGGTTATAGATTACATGGAAAATGGAGATCTTGGTACATTTTTGATGCGTGAAAATAATTTGTTAATGTGGAATGATATATTCCTTCTATTAAAAGATATATTTTATCAACTAAGCCAAATTCATGATAATGGCATGATACATAAAGATCTTCATCCCGGTAATCTCTTATCTGATGAAAATGGATGGTTTATTAGCGATTTTGGATTTTGTGGTCCTAATCATAAGAGTCAGAATAAAATATATGGCGTCATGCCTTATACAGCTCCAGAAGTGTTAATCAATGGCAAATATTCTTCAGCATCAGATATTTATAGTATGGGGATAATTATGTGGCATATTGCAACTAGGCGTAATCCATATGAAGGTCGTATACGTGATAGCTATCTTGCATGGAATATTATCGAAGGTCTTCGACCAGAAACTATCCCAGGAATTCCTTATGGCTATCAAGAAATTATGAAACGATGTTGGGATACTGATCCATTAAAAAGACCAACAGCAGAAGGAGTTAATAATTATTTTAATACAAAGCTTCAAAAAATATCAAGCGGAGAATATATTATTTCTGAAAATAATCCAAAACCAAGTAATTTATATTTTTTTTTATGATGACAAAAAGACAATTTATCCTTTGGTCAGTGATTATTATTAATAATTATATTCCAATTTTCATTACAGTAATAAATGATATTGATAAAGCTATTCCATATTTAGAAGAAAGTGATGAGTTTTTATTATTAATACACGTAGAAAATGATAATTATCAAACTTCAGAAAAACATGGTAAATATTTATAAAATATATATTGCTTTCTAAACATTTACATGCTTATTTGTTAAGCCGGCATGTGAGAATTAAATATTACCAACCTCAGGATCAAAATAATGTTCATGAGCGATATTTCGAACTATAAGGTTCCTTGAAAAAAAAATAAACTTGGCTAAGTCAGAACTCTAGTCTTCCTATCGGATAATACGAAGCAATATAGTTATGATGTTTAGTAAATATAAAAAATGAATACTAAATTGGAATTATTTGCCAACTGATACCTAAAAAAAAAAAAAAAAAAAAAAAAAAAAATGAATACTAAATTGGAATTATTTGCCAACTGATACCTAAAAAAAAAAAAAAAAAAAAAAAAAAAAAATTCGGGTTGGTGAATAATGCGAAACAATATTAACTTTATTAAAATCAAACTTAAGAATTAAAAATTTATATAATTTGCATTACAAATACTTATATTTACATGTGTATTTTCAATTCTTTAGAATATCATTCAAATTTTGAATTTGTTCCAAAACATAATATTCCGGATGATGATTTGATACATCTAGATCTTAATAAGAGTATATTTCCTATTTATAATATTCTATCAAAATTAATGATTTATTTTTAACAAACATTCTTATATTTGATAGCTTCACAAAATTCTTTTATATTTAAAACTCATGGAATATCTAGTTACTTTTCTGGAAATTATGAAGAATCTATCTCAAATCTTAACATTGCGCTTAGCTTAAATCCAAATGATTTAAGAGCTTTACATCATCGTGGGCTTGCACATCTTAGATTGGGTCAATACGGTGACGCGATTGCAGATTTTACTGAAGTATTGAAAATTAACCCAATTTCTAAAACCAAGATGTCTGATCATGCACAAAAAAATATAAAAAGTTCTTTTAGGGATGATTATTTTGGCAGATGCTTATGGAGTTTGCGTGGATTTGCTTACCTTCAACTACGTCATGTAAAAAAGGGATTTGCAGATTTTAGCAAATCATTTGAAATTAGATATTTATATAAGATATTGATAAATATCCCTTCTCATATTCAAAAAATAAAAATAGATAGTCGTGGTTGGATATTCAATGAAGCACCCGAAATAGAATTCTTTGAACCAAAAGATTCACCTTTTAAAGATGTGGAAAAAGTATTTAATGCATTGGAAGCTGAACCTACCAATGCAGTTGACCTAACAATCCGAGCAGCGGTTCAATTTAATAAAAATAACGATATCGATATTAAGTCTGCTTTAGAATATTTGAATAAAGCTTTGGAAATTGATCCTAATTACATACACGCTATGCGTTATCGGGCAATGTACTATTCCATTATAAATAATCAAAGTAAATCACTTTATGATTTAGACAGAGCATTAGAACTTGAACCTGAAAATGTTTTTTTACTACAAATGCGTGGTGCCGTGCTTTGTAACACGGGACTATACGAAAAAGCATTAGCAGATTTGAATAAGGCATTGGAAATTATTGGAACCACGAACTACATGGCAGACTACATGAGAGTGCCTTGCCTAGTAACTCGCGCATATATGCACTGCAAAGAACATAATTACAAGGAAGCATTTGTAGATCTAAATAAAGCATTAAAAATTTTTCCTAATTATATACCTGCTTTACGCTATCGGGCAACTCTTTTTTTTTTAGAACATAATCACGAAGAATCGCTGGCAGATTTAAATACAATATTGAAATACGAACCTAATCATATATTTTCACTAAAAATGCGTGGAAATATTTTTAATGACATGGGCCATTATAATGAATCTATGACAGATATAAATAAAGCACTAGAAGTTCAATTTAATGACACAGCATGCCTAATAATTCGTGCGAGAATCCATATCAATATGAATCGATATGAAATGGCGCTTGAAGATTTGGATAAAGTCTTAAAAATTAATCCTAACGATTTATCTGCTTTGGAAATTCGTACAAGTCTTTATTGTTTTCTGCAAAATTATGATGAATCGCTTGCTGATTTAGATAGAATAATAATAGCGTCAGATCAAGAAAATTTTAAAATAATCATGAGTGATCAAACTGAAGCAGAATTATTGGCAGATTTAAGTAAGTCATTGGCAATTAAACCCGATGATGTGGCTGGTTTAACAATTCGATCTAGCGTTCAATTTAAATCGTCTAGCATGATCGATCAATTTCAATATCTCTATGACAAGTCGATTGAGGATTTGGATCAGGCCCTGAAAATTGATCCTAATTATATTCCTTCTTTACGAAATCGTGCCATTATTTATTATTTAAAAAATGATTATGAAAGATCACTTTGTGATTTAAATAGAGCGTTAAAACTCGATCCACGGAATGAACCTTTATTAAGAATACGTGGAATTGTATTTAATAAAGTGGGCTCTTATGAAAATTCGTTAGCAGATATAAATAAGTTATTAGAAATCAACCCAAATAACGTAGAATGTTTAGTGACTCGTGCAAGTATTTATGCTAATATGAATAACTATGAATCTTCACTAGAAGATTTGGAAAAGGCTAAGAAAATTGATCCTTTATGGATGCCTTCAATTGATATTTTCGTCAAACTTAAAGATAATAATGATAAAATACTGGAAAATCTAAATAGAGCATTAGAATTAGAACCGGATGATGAAATTTTCTTGAGAATACGTGGAGATATTCTCAATGAAATGGGACATTATGAAATGGCATTGACGGATCTAAATAAGGCATTGAAAATTAAGCCAGATTATTTATACTGTCTAAAAACCAGAGCAAAAATTCATGTCAACCTGAAACACTATAAATTAGCGCTTGATGATTTGAATAGAGCTTTAGAAATTAATAATAATTATTTACCTGCTTTGTACGATCGTGTAAAGGTTTTTTTTTTGACTCGTGATTACGAAAAATCACTTGCTGATCTTAATATATTATTAGAACTAGAACCGGAAGACGTATTGCTTTTAATAAAACGTGGAGCTATTTTTTTAAACACGGGTAATTATGAAAAATCGTTAGCAGACCTAAATAAAGCGCTGGAAATTGAGAAAACCAATGCAGTTGCATTATCATATCGTGGAGCTGCTTTCCAAAAAATGTCCAAATATGAAGAATCACTTTTGGATTTAACCAAATCACTGGAAATTAAACCAAATGACGCATATACGTTAAGAGTTCGTGGTAAAGTTCATCTCAATATGGAAAGATATGAAGAGTCGATAGTAGATTTGACTGAATCTCTGGAAATTGAGGAAAATTCTTTTGCATTAAGGAATCGAGAATTAAGTTATTACATGGTTGGAAGATATAAAGAATCACTTTTTGACTTAATAAAATCACTAGAAATAGAACATAATTCGGTTTTATTACAAATACCGAATTTCATGGGTTTAATTAAATCATTAGAAGTCGAGCCAATTAATGCAGATTACTTATTACAGGTTCATGGGTTTATATATCTTAAAATGGAAAATTACATGGAAGCACTTAAATTTTTTACTAGATCGTTAGAAATTGAGCCAAAAAATGTACAAGCGTTATCAAATCGTGGAGCTATTTACATGATGATGAATAGATATGATGAATCACTTGCAGATCTCAACAAGTCATTAGAAATTGAACAAAATAATTTAGATGCATTAAAAAATCGTGGATGTACTTATAAATTGATGAACAGATTTGAAGAGGCACTTATAGATTATACTAGATTATTAGAAATAGTGCCATATGATGAATTTCTATTATTCTACCGTGGTGACACTTTTAGATTGATGGATATGTATGAAGAATCAATTGCAGATTTGACAAAGGCGTTAGAAATTGCACCAAATAATATATTGGTATTAATGAGTCGTGGAGAGAGTTATTATAAAATGGAACAATATGAAGAATCACTTAAAGATTTTACCACAATACTAGAAGTTAACCCAAATAATGAATTTGCATTAAGAAATCGTGGTAAAATCTATAATATAATAGGAAAATATGAAGAATCACTTAGAGATTTTATTACGTTACTAGAAATAATGAATTTGCACTAAGTAATCGTGGTGACATCCAGTGGTAGATAAAGTACTGTTTTGGCTCCGGAGCTTTTTCCTTGTTTTATACATAATATAGCTTTGCCCAGAATTATGCTTTATTTTTGTGCCTAATTTATATTTTATCATAATTTTGCTTAGAATTGATATTGTATGAAATTACTGAATTTATATTCAAATTTATTGATTTGCTTAAGTATATTGTCTATCTCCCAATATTTGGGGACCTAGGCCGGCTTTCTTGAAAAGTACTGGGGTACTATATCAATACATCAGGTAAATCTAAGTAATTATAACATTGCAATTTTTGTAATTACGTACTGTATATACCGATACAAACTTGTAAGCTGACTGGCATTGGTCAATTCCATTGAGTGTATAAGATTATCAATACAAGTATATCACTAGACTCCTATATAAGTACATATAGAGGTGTGAATTAATCGAAAAACTAGTGCGATAGGTGGCGCGAAGCGCCACCCATCTTATTTGTTTAATCAAATTACTGTTAAAGATTCTTTACAGAAGTACTTATTTATTGCAATATACGCGATATATAATTAAATTAAATTTTAATAAGTTTCATCAGAATTATTTATCAATGTGGTTACAGTTGAGATTGTCAATTTTTACCATAATTTGAAGTAAAAATTTCTATTATAGAACTTGATATTCGATGAGTTTATTGCATTAGAATTATTATTACGGTTAATCACATGTTCTCTTGAAACACAATTGTTAATGTGAATAGAATTAAACTTTATTCTCACATTAGTAATTTATTGAACAATTGAATGATTATAGTTAATCAATATCGGGACACTTAAAGATCACTGGACCCAGTGATCGATGATCACATGATAGACATATCATGACGTCATTTGTTTACCAGAACTAAACAAACTAACCTCTACCCTAACCCTAAACTAACCCTAACCTAGGCCGAGTGGTTATCATGTGATACTGTGATCATCACTGGGTCCACAGATCTTGAAACTTCCCTCAATATCTTGTAACATAATCGGTAAAGTGAATCGAATTAAATTTCGTACTCACACTGGTAATTTATTATTCGAATGTTTAAATGATTATGATTAATTACACGTTCTCTTGAAGCACAATTGTTAAAGTGAATCGAATTAAACTTTGTTCTCACCCTGATAATTTATTAAGCAATTGAATGATTACGATTAATCAATGTCTTGAATCACAATTGTTAAAGCAAATCAAATTAAACTCATACTCGACCTAGTAATTTATTTGAACGATTAAATGATTATAGTTAGGGTTGCCTGCCGTAATTAATTACAACCTTTACGACATATAGGTTGCAATATTACGACATATAGGTTGTAA